TTTCCTACACCCTTGATTTAACTGTTGTACATTTGTAATGGTATATTGAGCCCTAACTTCTCACACCCTCAATTCAAATATTACACTTGTAATAACATATTGGACCCCAATTTCCTAAACCCTTGATTTAACTGTTGTACATTTGTAATGGTATATTGAGCCCTAACTTCTCACACCCTCAATTCAAATATTACACTTGTAATAACATATTGGACCCCAATTTCCTAAACCCTTGATTTAACTGTTGTACATTTGTAATGGTATTTAGCCCTAACTTCTCACACCCTCAATTCAAATATTACACTTGTAGTAATATACTGGGCCCCAATTTCCCACACCATAGAATCATCTGTTATACATTTATAATGGTAAATTGAGCCTTAAATTCTCATACCCTCTAGATTCATCTGTAATACATTTAAGATGGTATGTTGAGCTCTAAGTTCCCATACCTCAATTCAACCATGATATATATACTCTTAACTGGTCAGGAATGCTGAAAGCTAATTTCGTTTTACGTACAAAGATTTTTGTGCAGATGATATAGAAAACAACGTGCAGTTAGAGTCTATTTTCATTCTCCGTACAAAATATCCAGTGTAATAATAACATGTAACTTTTAACAGATAGCAATGAAAATGGCAGATGCAGTTTGGTTGTCGTATTATATATAACTTTGCCTTCACTCATAATTTTTAGAATTTGTAACAACTAGACCCTTATTATTACCGATAAGTGGTTTTTATTATATTTAAAGGTAAAAAAACAAAAACGGAGTTAGTTTGAAGAAACTCTGGAATCTTCAGGTCTTAATCTAATCAGATTAATCTACAAAGTCTGATCAACATATGGGTTGGGATTTTCTTTACTGGTTAATTGGCTGATATGATTCCTATTTTATATACAGGAAACTAAAGACCTAATACTATATTTCCGTTATGAAAAAACTGTTTGAATCTATCTTCAAGAATCATTTCTTAAAACATTTTCAATATTTGCACTCAATAAATAATTATCAAGGTTATTTTAAAAAGGGACTTTCTTACCTCATTAACTTATTATTCTTGTTTAAATGGTTTTTGCATTTTTGATAAGGACATTCCCGACTGAAGTTGTGTAATTAATTGTAACATTAGAAAAGCCTTCAAAAAGGTTTCACAGCAACACTGGATTCTTATAGAAATTATGAAAAAGCTCAACACTGGATTTGTGATAGAAGGCAAAAAATTGTGATAAAAAGGACTTTTTCTGACTACAAGAGAGTCAATAGTATTTCCTCATGGTCTGTTTTGGAAACTGTTCATTGTTTATGGATACCTATGTAACAGGAAAATATGTTACATCTGTTCATGACACTGAGACATTAAGTTGAAACTGTTGATAATGGTTTGTGTAACTTAGGAGGTCGTGATAAGTTTTAAGTTGTAGGCAAGAACACATTAAGTTGAAACTGTTGATAATGGTTTGTGTAACTTAGAAGGTCATGATAAGTTTTAAGTTGTAAGCAAGAACACATTAAGTTGAAACTGTTGATAATGGTTTGTGTAACTTAGGAGGTCGTGATAAGTTTTAAGTTGTAGACAAGAACACATTAAGTTGAAACTGTTGATAATGGTTTGTGTAACTTAGGAGGTCGTGATAAGTTTTAAGTTGTAGACAAGAACACATTAAGTTGAAACTGTTGATAATGGTTTGTGTAACTTAAGGTCGTGATAAGTTTTAAGTTGTAGACAAGAACACATTAAGTTGAAACTGTTGATAATGGTTTATGTAACTTAGAAGGATGTGGTAAGTTTTAAGTTGTAGACAAGAACACATTAAGTTGAAACTGTTGATAATGGTTTATGTAACTTAAGGTCATGATAAGTTTTAAGTTGTAGACAAGAACACATTAAGTTGAAACTGTTGATAATGGTTTATGTAACTTAGAAGGATGTGGTAAGTTTTTAAGTTGTAGACAAGAACACATTAAGTTCAAACTGTTGATAATGGTTTATGTAACTTAAGGTCATGATAAGTTTTAAGTTGTAGACAAGAACAAGCTGAAACTGTTGATAATGGTTTATGTAACTTAGAAGGGCGTGATAAGTTTTAAGTTGTAGACAAGAACACATTAAGTTGAAACTGTTGATAATGGTTTGTATAACTTAGAAGGGCGTGATAAGTTTTAGTTGTAGACAAGACACAGAACATATGGGTCAATGTTAAAAAGTGATGTAATGAAGTTAGCATTTTCCTACACTGAAAAATGTATTTCCCATAGAAACTTACCTCCACTCACAAAATAGAGGTTTTCGACTAGCACTGCCCTCTATCGGCGCAAATTCTCAACGCATGCCACTAGCCTTCCACCTCCCACTTCTGCATATCCATATGCAAACAATCATGCAATAGCTCTACACCAATAGGAGAATGTACATCCAGAGGATCGTAGGAAGGAGGAATGCCATGGTCGTATATATAGACAGGAATACTGCATTGTGTTACAATCAAAACTTGGCAGCATCTGGATCTGTACATTTGGTCCGTGTTAGGAAGTGCGATATGCCAGAGACACCTGCAGAATGCCACCATACTCTCAACTGAAGTGGTATGACTCATCAGGAGGACAAGCCCTCATGGTCCACCACCCCAGTGGTTAGGAACTGGCAAGTGGTAAGAACTTCCGCACTCCACTAGAAGAAGGGGGGGAGGAACGCATTGGACTGCACCACCAGAGACAGTACAATGGGTGACTGTGACACCCTATTTTGAAAAGCAGTGATATCTGGAATTGTACATCAAGTCCGCAGTAGGAAGGGCTACAGTGAAATTGACATCGGGCATGGTCACAAGGTAGACAGTGTGGATTTTCAACAAAAAAAAGGTATACCTGATCAGGCACCACTTGTCACACAGAGTGGGATCCACTATACACTAGCAAAGAGGCCCCTGAAAAAGTAAGAAAAAAAAAGCAACTATTCACAATACCAAAACGCAAAGATTTTGGTAAATAGTGATAATAATAAAAAAAAAATCAATAATATAACAAATCAACAAATCCGTGAGTAAAAACCAGCAATACTGCCAATTGAGAAGTTATTAACGAGTACAGATGTAAAAAGGGGCACTAGTTATGATAGGAGGGGTGTCACGCTCCTATTGGTGGAAAGTTGCTGAATGTGGATATGTAGAAGCAGAAGGCTAGTGGCGTACGTTGAGAATTTGTGACGATAGAGGGCAGTGCGAGTCGAGAGAAGCTATTTTGTGAGAGGAGGTGAGATATTGTATTGTATTGGAAGACTATCCCTTATGTGAAACCATCTCTGATAGCTTTAGATTCTTTGAGAGTTTTTGGATTTGTTATTATATGTTTTAAATTGATTTAAGACAGAAAATTATCTCTTTAAGAGTACTGTGTACAGTTTTGATGCACTTAAAAAGAATAGTTTAAAGACATAGACCTTTTTTTTCACTGAAGCAAAGATTCAAAGTGTTTAAGTTTTAGGGATTTGGATAAAATGCACATTTGTGTGGTGCTGAGCAGTGGAATAATAAAATAACTTAATACAAGTAATAAAACATAATCTTTGGAAGCACAAAATCTACATTCTCATCTCTTACTGATTTACTTCTTGGTAAGAAATATATTCTTGTCTAGCAATTTACCTTATGTTGTGGTTCAGGCTTTTACTTTACAGTTGTTCAGTTGTTTGTTAGATATACATATGAATGTTGAAAGGATACATTCACGTTGTGTTGAAAATAGTCCTTTGTGGTTGTTCAGAGTGAAAGTGACTTTAACAGCTTCTATCACCTGTTCTTAAAATGTTGGAATAACATTTCAGAAGTTAAGTATCTAGAACATAGATGGCCAACTGGCAGTCCGCAGACCAGATTCAGACCGTTTTTTAAAATCATATTTTAGTTTGGCTAAACTGTCAAAACAAAAACAAAAACAGAAAATGAAACCATGACCAACAAACCAGTCCTGTGACAGTTCTGAGGACTTAACTCAGCTATTTATTCAAAACCACAGAATTAATTGAGGATCTGTAGTAGACAGTAGGAATTAAAATATAAATCACACAATTATTCTGAGCGTACTTTAAGCAGTCATATAGTTTCAGTCTCCAGACTACAGTCTAGGTAAGAAACTGGCTCACAAGCATAAAAAAAGTTAGCCATCCATGACACAGAACGTAACAAAACTCTACACACATCTGAGAGTATTATTTACAAAACAGACAACTGACTTTTCGTAAGTTGACGTATTACAATGTGATTCAATGCAGTACTATTCCAGAATAAGAAACTGCTTTTAAGGATAACCATGTAAAAAAAACAACAAAAGCTTTAAGTTATTTATGAGATAATTCTTTTAAGTGTTAGAGAGTAGCCTAAATGATGACTTGAATGATTTTTTGTCACCTTGTGAGCTTTTACATCAACTGTACATCTACAGCAACTTTTCAAAGTTGTATACTTTCTTCTTTCAATCATTTCAACACTACATAGGCTTCCAAATAGCATTACTTTTAATGTTTTGGGATAAGTTCATTTTCTTGTTGAAATCCAGTTAGCTGGTCTTAGTTTACACATGTTTAGTCGGTCTCTGTTATAGCAATGTTCCCGAAGTTGTTGTTTGATCCCTTCTTAGGAGTTTGACCTTCTAGCTCGTCCAACCTCCTGTGACGACGGATGTCCAACATCACTTTTTCAAGTCTTGCTACTCTTTTCTGAGCACTACTTCCTGAAAGATAACGATATTTTCAAATGATTTATCAATTCTACTCTTTTCTGAGCACTACATCCTGAAAGATAACGATATTTTCAAATGATTTATCAATTCTACTCTTTTCTGAGCACTACTTCCTGAAAGATAATGATATTTTCAAATGATTTATCAATTCTACTCTTTTCTGAGCACTACATCCTGAAAGATAACGATATTTTCAAATGATTTATCAATTCTACAAATCCTTGGAAAGCCATCTTGGCAACTTCAACTTCTTCTAGAGTTAAACAAAACAAAAAAAAAAGGGTTAAGAAACCAATATCAAATTACAACATTCTTTCATAAGTTACAAGTTTGAGTACAAGATGTAACTTGTTATTTACATCAACATTCTTTCATAAGTTACAAGTTTGAGTACAAGATGTAACTTGTTATTTACATCAACATTCTTTCATAAGTTACAAGTTTGAGTACAGGATGTAACTTGTTATTTACATTACAAGTTTGAGTACAAGATGTAACTTGTTATTTACATCAACATTCTTTCATAAGTTACAAGTTTGAGTACAGGATGTAACTTGTTATTTACATTACAAGTTTGAGTACAAGATGTAACTTGTTATTTACATTACAAGTTTGAGTACAAGATGTAACTTGTTATTTACATTACAAGTTTGAGTACAAGATGTAACTTGTTATTTACATTACAAGTTTGAGTACAAGATGTAACTTGTTATTTACATTGCGTGATTATGAGTTACTTACTCTTAGCCATTAACATTTTGTTCTAATTAAATATTTAATGCTGTAGTTAATTTTATAGATGACATACCTCTCTTGAGATATTGAATTAGTTGAATAAAATTAATTCAGAATTTTGTTCTCAATGAAATATAACAGAAGTGGTGGTAATGTAATCGAAAACTTAGTGTTCCAAAACACGACAGGAGATATTGGTTTAAAACTGTATAGTTGATTTAATAGACCCCCTTGTCTTTGTAACAAATCCCATTAGTCTTTCGAATTGAATAAATTTACACTCTTTAAGGTCTGTTTAACATCAAGGAATCGTGCTCTTATTAAAAAGATTGTTCAAAACAAAATTTGGTTTTATGTGGGCCACTCGTATGAGATTATAGCCTGTAAATGTACATCGTAGGTGTCAAGGATGTGGGTAAACCTGACATCACTTCTCAACTCAGTCTCTGTTATATCATTCTGTGATGTTCATCTTATCAGTTTGGTAAAATTGGTGTTACAAAAAAAAAATGTCAGTTGTGCAAAACATTACAATGTAATGAACGTTGGCCATATATTGGATTATAACTCCCACTTGTTTAATAATTAAACTCATAACTCTACTATTATATCACACAATGCATGGTAATCAACACACTTGCTATTTATATATTTTTTTAGATTTGTTGGGTTTTCAAATCACACTTGGAAGAAGAATATTGCAATGGGTGTTTAAAAACATATTTCATGAATGCATGGGCAACCAGGTATTGTGTACACGTGTCTTCCAATTAGTGATGACAAACTGTGTTCATAGACTGCCCACTCACTCTAATTCAGATGGCTCGTTCATGGTAATAACTTGACTACAGTTGTTCACACCAAAACTCAGCTGAATGTCTAGACAGATCATTGTCAGATATGTAAGAAAAACCAACATTGACAGACAGAGATGATATTACATGCAGCATACAAATTGAGACATTCTGCCCTTACGTCCAGCCAAGACATGGCTGTCAAAAAGTAAATAAAATGTACACGTGCCAATTTTTGCATACAAGCAGAATTTTTTCACATAATACATGCATAATTTCTGTTAATGCAACCTTTGCATGTATGTATAAATCCATTACATGAGAATAAATACTAAAACGTCATCAATTATGGACGATCTATTTGCAGTAACACATAGAAGATAATGGATGAGTAAAATGTAAGGAACACTTGAAATTCAACTTTAAAGATGAATAGTTTTTTGTTTTTGTTTTTCCATAAAATGCGAAACTCTCAAAAACATTACTTCAGGCTTTCCTTTGGATCCCAATAAATTTCTGTGGCCCGTTCAAATTCTGCACCTCTTGAAGTTGTGTTAAATACTTTAGTTTTTAAGAGTGAACTCTATACTCTGACCTTTTATATGAATTGTATATTTTTTCTTTTTGTGTGGCATAACCAAACTTTTCAAACTGTATTCCTTTATCACCAACTGCTTTTTTATCATTATCCAGCTTAAACTAGGTTTAGATTACAGTCTATTGTCTGCTTGTTTTCATCATTATCCAGCTTAAATTAGGTTTAGATTACAATCTATTGTCTGCTTGTTTTCATCATTATCCAGCTTAAACTAGGTTTAGATTACAATCTATTATCTGCTTGTTTTCATCATTATCCAGCTTAAATTTTGTTTAGATTACAATCTATTGTCTGCTTGTTTTCATCATTATACAGCTTAAACTAGGTTTAGGTTACAATCTATTGTCTGCTTGTTTTCATCATTATACAGCTTAAACTAGGTTTAGATTACAATCTATTGTCTGCTTGTTTTCATCATTATCCAGCTTAAACTAGGATACTGTGTCAGGGCTCAGGGGATGTCTGCAAGACCGCTTCAATCTCTTTAACAACCTGAGTGAGAATTACCATGTTTAATATCCATGAAGCTGCCCTGGTAGCAATGTTTTTTATATATTTAGCTACAGGTAAATATCTAGATATTTTAAGTAAAGCTGGTGACTTTTATTAAAATTGACAATTAAGTGTAATAAGTAGTGTGAAATTGTGAAGTGAATAAAAAAACTTGTAAATTCATATAGATATGCTATATACTTGCCAAGTTTTCAAAATTCTCATGGGAGAGATTTTGCGCGACTCACGGCAAATCAAGCAACTTAGAAGCACGTGAACAATCACGGTTGGTTTATATTGATAAATACATCTTATTTGTATAATCAGTTTTCACTGGCCAAGAAGAAAGTGAAGCCCGATTTCGAGTATGAATCACGTGTTTACTCAACTGGTTTTGCTATAGAAAGCAAACGATTGGCTGATGTTTATTAATGTATGAAAAAGTTAATCAAGTTACATATTAGGTTGTCAAGAAATTAATTTTGCGTTTTAGAACACTTTCATTAACCACCCCCAAAAAAACGTACATCAAGTATAATAGTTAAACGAACCACTTAAAGGTCACGTTAGTGTAGCCTATATAATGTGTAAAGTTTAGTATACTCTAATCCATTATAGTGATGGTACACGATGAGACACACATATGGCATGTAATGCTGTTTTAATACAAGAAGGGAAACAACGCCTCTGTAGCTACAAAGAATATCAAAGAAGTTTATGTAAATGTTTTGAATGTTTAAAGCAAGCCCTTCATCAGAAACACCCTTCACTCATTAATCAGAAAGGTGTTCTTCTTCTCCACGACAATGCACATCCACATGTGGCACGGTTGTTGCAACACAAGATTATGGAGTTGAGTTGGAAAGTTCTCCCCCACCCACCATATTCTCCAGATATGGCACCATCAGATTACCATCTTTTTTGTTCGCTTCAACACCATCTTAATGGGATATTTTGTGCAAACGTGGAAGGTGTTAAAGAGGACATTGACATGCTTTTTTGCTTCAAAGCCAAGTGATTTCTTTAATCAGGGAATTAACAACCTGATTGTAAGATGTAAAAGCATCATTGATAAGAATAGAGACTATTTCATTTAATAAATGTTTTGTTTTGAGATATAAGTTGTTCAGGTTTTTTCATCTAAAAAAAAAGCGACATTAATTTCTCAATGACCTAATAAATTGGTAGAAATGACCTATTCTTAAAACCCTATAGGTAGATTGGATCAAAGGTCCAAATTCAGGAAACTCCCACCCAAATCGTGAGAGTTGGCAAATATGATGCTGAATAAATTATGTTTCTCATTTTTCAGGGAGGGACAAGTGCCCCCTCCTACAGATGCCCATGCTTTTGCCAAAATTAATAAAACTTCATTGATGCCATTTCACTATCCTTTTGAAGCCCATATATGGTTTCAGTTTTTAAATTTCCAGTCTCCTAATACACTGATTTAAATTTTCAAATAAATAGGTTCAATTAAACCTGACAGCTCCCAAAACTCCCTTGATTCCATATTTTTGCTCTCCCCCACAACTATTTTGAAAAAACAAAACAAAAACATTCTTCATCTACATTCTGTGATGACAGAGAACCTATTTTCAAAATTTCAAGTCCATTTATTAAAAAATGTGGGAGGAGTTAGAATTCTAGTAAACGTAGAACATGAACAGTTACAACTGAGAATTAATATCTATATTTTATTATAATTTTTAATACAACGGATTTTGTTTTAATTTATTACATACAATATGACTTTCCTTGAAAAAAGTTTCTTAATTATTAGTTGGAATTAGAAAGCTAAGAACAATATTAAAATGAGAGTATAACTTCAGATTACTTTTAATTTGTTAAGCTTAACGCTAGCAGTTTGTTACTAAGTTTATATAATGTTTGACTCTTCATCGCTAGGCAATGAATGGTATTTCTAACTTTGTCACTGACAGTAAACTTGTTTATTATTCTCAATCTTTAGTTTAAAGAATAATGTATACAAGATAAAATACATGTACATTTTGCAAAGAGACTACTTCAAATATTTTGCAAATTTTGCACATGCATTATCTATCTATGCTGCATGATGGTCGGTTTTGTATTTTTGCAGGTTTAATGGGGGGGGGGGGGGTCCTGTGAAACCATAGGTATATTAACTTGACTATGATTTGTTCTAAAAAATGTAGCATTTAAATGTAATTAATGATTTGTAGAATGGTTTCACATAGCTTTTGAAATGGTGTCTTACAAACGGGGCATATCGAAATTTGGGCACGAGTCCACCTAAATTTCCTTTTACTGGGTTAAGCTACTGTTGTGGCTACTAGTATTTATGGCTAGCTACTAAATGTCAAGAGATATTTGGCATTCACTGCTTACAAGAGATTGTTAAATCACACACTCATAGTGTTGATCAAAGAAAATGGAAGAAGGCAAAGAATGGTGACACATTAGGCTTAGTGATAGAAAGCAAAGAATGGTAATACATTAGGCTTAGTGATAGAAAGCAATGAATGGTGATGCATTAACTTAGTGATAGAAAGCAAAGAATGGTGATACATTAGGCTTAGTGATAGAAAGCAAAGAATGGTGATGCATTAAGCTTAGTGATAGAAAGCAAAGAATGGTGATATATTAGGCTTAGTGACAAAAAGGAAAGAATGGTGATACATTAGGCTTAGTGACAAAAAGGAAAGAATGGTGATACATTAGCTTTGTGACAGAAAGCAAAGAATGGTGATACATTAGCTTTGTGACAGAAAGCAAAGAATGGCAATACATTAGGCTTAATGATAGAAAGCAAAGAATAGTGATTCATTAAGCTTAATGATAGAAAGCAAAGAATGGTGATATATTAGGCTTAGTGATAGAAAGCAAAGAATGGTGATACATTAGGCTTAGTGATAGAAAGCAAAGAATGGTGATACATTAAGCTTAGTGACAAAAAGGAAAGAATGGTGATACATTAATTTTGTGACAGAAAGCAAAGAATGGTGATACATTAATTTTGTGACAGAAAGCAAAGAATAGCAATACATTAGGCTTAGTGATAGAAAGCAAAGAATAGTGATTCATTAGACTTAGTGATAGAAAGCAATGAATGGTGATACATTAGCATTCTTCTGGAAAGAAGAGTAAGACTAATGAGGTTCCCTCCAAGGTATACTTTGGGTCCTCTCATTAATAATACTTGGAAAGAGCCAAATTTCTGCACAAAGAATTATTGGAGTTGTAGAAAAAGAAAAGGATTTAAGCATGGTTGGTGATAAAGTCTTGAAAATTTTTTACCGATACTCTAGTAATGCCACATTTAAAGCATTATTTTTAGTTATATTCTAGTAATTTTTACATTCAAATACACTTATTAATCAATTACGTTCAACTAATTGATTATTCTCATGACACTGATTTTCTTATTTTCAGCTTTTTTTTTTAAAGACAAATTCAAACTTCCCTTCATTTAACGTGACAGACATCTCCTGGTATAACAATTTAGTATTAAGTTACTTTTTAATCCTAAACTATTGTACAAGAAAATGTATCATATATGCAATATAGTATAAAAACTGCAACAAGGTGAAAAATATTATTTATATTGTTCTATGTGTTTCTACCTGCAAATTTTCAGAAGTTTATCAAAACTAAATAAATTAATTTCGTCCTTAGACTTTATGAGTAACGTTCTTGCAACAGTGTGTGATAGATATTGTATAATTCAGTGAAAATACATTTATTCCAATGCTAAACAAACAAAGATAATACAACATGTACAATTTGGCAAGAAAACTTATAACAGATGACCTGCAGAGATAAAAATTATTTGTGAAACCATTCCTCTTGTGATCAAACAAATGACTATTTCTATTTAAATGCATCAAGTTTCTTTCCATGAAATAAATGGTATTTGATAGTTTGAAGTACAAATATGGCTTATTTCAACAAAAACCAGTTTTAACTCAATTTTTCCACTGCAGCTTTATTATCACCAAACATGTGTGGGTACATTTGCAATTGAATAGAAATTTTATACATTTTTTGTATCCATGCACAGCTTTGCTCACAGTTTGAATGTAATGTTCTTCAGATTTTGTAGTATATGCTGGTGGGATTTAGGCATGGACCGAAATGACATGGTAAGGCTTCAAAATTGTTTTCGTATAACATACTCATATATTTAGAATATTAATGATTAAGGTGTAAAGATGATTCAACAAATCAACTCTCTCCCTAGTGTACAGGGCTTATCATACCGACATTTCAAAATTCGAACAGACCTTTCTTTTCGAGAAATTTGTAAGTTGTGCAGAGCACTCTGATAAAACAAATGTAACTGTATGACCTTTCATTTAAAACAAATTATGTTTGATTTTCCTTCGCACAGATTTTTTACTAAAGTGATTTTTACTAACCTAAGTACAGTTTTACTTTGTTTGTATTTAAGCACAAAGCTACACAATGGGCTATCTGTGCTCTGCCCACCACGGGTATCGAAACCCAGATTCTAGAGTTGTAAGTCCGCAGACATACCGCTGTGCCACTGGGGAGGCCAGAAGGAGAGAGAGATCAAGCAGCATAAATGAGTTCTGTTTTTATTTTGTGATCATGCTTATTTAACTTTGGACTTATAGATGGAGATTATATTTGCTTATAACCAAAATCTACAAATAGTAGTATAAATCCCAGATGGTGGTTGGGATTTAGATTATAAGAGTGTACAAGATTTTTTGATCTACAACTTAATATTTGTACTTTTTTTATTTCTTGACATTGGTATTGTGAGTGTAATATCACTCCAACAACTAGCTGTAATGGGTTTGGATTCTTTATATTTAATCACCCAAGCCTTTTTGTTATTGTTCTTCAGAAGTGAGATACTTTTAATGTCTTTTAGATGCTACTGCCACAGATAACTTCCTCCAAATTTATACCTCTTGTAGTTGTTCTACACTGTTATAAATTTTTATTTTGTTTTGTTTTTGTCCAGAGCAACTTGAATGCAGTGACAATTAGTCATAAGATTATATAAAGATATACATGTACTTTGAAAGGTAACTCCACACTGGCAGCATGATGGTAGTTATGATTTCTATAGTAACAAACTTTGAAAGTTCACTCCACACTGGCAGTCTTCTGATAGTCAGAGTTTCTCTAGTAACAAACTTTAAAGGTAACTCCATGCTGGCAGTCTTCTGGTAGTCAGGAGTTTCTCTAGTAACAAACTTTGAAAGGTAACTCCACACTGGCAGTCTTCTGGTAGTCAGGAGTTTCTCTAGTAACAAATTACTTTGAAAGGTAAATATTAAAGACCAACTACTTTTCATGTTTTTGAGATAAAGGATATAGATATAGGATAGGATAAACCTTATTAAGGGCAGGATCCTTCTATCCAAAAGTTTTTCTGAAGTTTCTCAAACATATATTACTATAACTAACATTTTGGGAGTTTTGAAATTATAGGAGTGAAGTAAATACTAAACAATGTAATACAATATTATTTATAGATATTCAAACAGCAAAGTCTTTGTTACTAGAGAAACTCCTGACTACCAGAAGACTGCCAGTGTGGAGTTACCTTTCAAAGTAATTTGTTACTAGAGAAACTCCTGACTACCAGAAGACTGCCAGTGTGGAGTGAACTTTCAAAGTTTGTTACTATAGAAACTCCTGACTACCAGAAGACTGCCAGTGTGGAGTGAACTTTCAAAGTTTGTTACTATAGAAACTCCTGAATACCAGAAGACTGCCAGTGTGGAGTTACCTTTCAAAGTTTGTTACTATAGAAATTCATAACTACCATCATGCTGCCTATAAGATATCTCACTTTTGGAAAAAAATAATATGTAACTTTGTAAATCTAAGCAGTATAGAAACAGACTCTTACTTTGAAAAAAACGTATTTTGTTTTACATGAGTGGTTAATTTATCAAGTAGTCCACTAGGAGAAGCAGTGCAAATTTGTTTTGGATTTAGTAGGATTTATGGACAGTAAAAAGGTGCATTTCGTAAAACATTGAGTTGTTTGTGTGAATAAAAGGTGATTTCAAAAGATCAACTTGTCTTTTTGATTCTGTTGTTTCTTTTTCTGTGATTTTACATTCAGATTGTTTTACTCAGTATCGATGGAAACATAAAATATTAGAAGATTATGTAAATATCTTTGTTTTTACCTGGTGTAGAACGGTGCCTTGGTGTGACTTTAGGTGTTGTTACCTCATTCCCATCATCATCAAAATCAAATTCATTAGGCTCAAGCCTACAATGGAAGAAATAACAACATAAGAAATGGCAACATGATAAAAGGCTCTTTGATTCATCAAGAGCATTAGCAAACCAAAATAAGAACATTCTTTTAAAGAAACCTAAATATAGTCTATCATATCAATTGTTTATTTAATAACTGTATGTATTATACCACATAAGCTATTCCACAAGTTTATAACTCTAGCCATCAAATTATGTACAGGTCTCTATCTAGATGACCTGGTGGTTAGGGCATTTGACTCACAATCTGCAGGGTGTAGGTTCAAATCCACCCTTTCAGCTGTGGGGGCATTATAAAGTGATGGTCAATAGTGGGTAATGTTGACTGGCTTCTTTCCTTCTAGTCTATCACTGCTAAATTAGGGAAGGTTAGTACTGATAGCCCATAAGGAGCCAAACTACCTAGGCTTCTGAAGCTTCTTAATATTCAACTTTGTATTTATAATCATTCCATCACTGTATGTAGAGATCTTAACACAATCTAATATTGTGTAAATAAACCATAAAATAAATTCACTGACAAAAAGAACAATGAGTGACACAATTTGAGTTCGAAACAATTTTGTGGTGCAAAAAAAGATTGAGAGTTTGTTCTAATTCTTCAGGCTTAGCAAAGGGTCCTTGAATATCAAACAAATCGTACGAGCTTTGGAAGTTTAGATGCAGAGTTGTTTTCATACAACTATTATTTTAGGAACAGTTACAAGAATAAGTCGTATATTTTTCTTTATCAAAAAGTCTATACTACAAAGATAAGCTTACATATTTGTATTTGTTTTTATTGAAATGAAGAAGTTAAAGGCAATATTATTCAGTTTTCACAATTATTAGATGTTAGAATACAATACTAGCTAAAAAAAATTGTTATCTTTGAACTGACAAGATTGGAATGTTGAGTTAAATATCAAGAGTTATTGTAACAAAATTATAAAAACCCTATAACCCGAGTGCTTTCGAAAGGTGAACCTTTCTTCTTCAGGGGGCAAACTCAAGAAGAAAGGTCCACCTTTTGAAAGTGCTCCGGTTATAGGGTTTTTTATCATTTTGTATCAAAACTTCTTGATCCTATGTGTTTTTCTGACATCATGAAGAGTTGTTTTAAGTACAAGTTTAGCATTTTTTGAGTTTAGAATATGAAGTGCTGGTATTACTAGGCAAAATGGAATTTTTTCACCTATAAAAGTTCTTTTTATATTTATCAGATATGCAAATTTTAAAATTATGCTCCAATTTAATACTAGTAGTTATAATAAGTATGAATTTACTATAGTCTAAGCAAATGGTCACTGCTTAAGTAAACAATTAATAAATGATGACCAGTCCAATAAAATTTAAGTATGTCTTACTTTTACAGCAGATAACATGAGGTTTAATTAGAAACTTAATATATTTCGGATTTTTAAAGACATTTTTGAAAAATTTTGAACGAAAAATATTAATTAATTACATATCAGGAAAACTAAGTTTTAAAGGTATAAATTTTTGTTTGTTTTATCAAAAAAAAAGTCAAAGAAATGAAGACGTGAAGAAAACTGTGTGTCCAGTTTGATGCTCTTTAAACTTCACTGGATTTAATCATTGTTTAATAGGATTCACTCAACTACTACAAATAACACACCTTTTCTAACTGACACAGATCTACAGTTCAAAGTAATATTCTATGCACTTTTAAACATTCAGTAGTGATTGACATTTTATAAACTTAAAAAGAGTCCTTTGTAAAGTCCCTAATATAATCAAATTAAAAATTAACTCAACATTTCACTTAAAACAGACATTAGTGACAGATTTTCAGAAACTTAATTATATCTGCAAGAGAAATAAAAAAAAATTCTTCTGAAACACATCATTTACTCATCACAAAAATAGTAAACTTTACTAACTGTTTACTGTCTTCAATTTCCGGCATTCTTCTGTCTATGCTTTCTGATTCATTTGAATGGACACTCGGTGAGCGACGACCTGGACAATGCCATTCTAGTTCAATAATACCTCGTTTATCTAAGATGTTGTATAAACGGACAATGTCTTCTGCTTTGGGTTGCCAGTTTTGGTTGGAAACATTTTCTTCTTTGATCCCAAAATATTTTTCTTCATCACTACATGACACGTTCCAATCTTCTTGGTCTCTCTCTTGAGCCTGCCTAACTTCAGTCATTGTATTCAGTTTTTGTCAAACAACATATATTCGGCTGCAATCAGATATTTGTTAAACATTTACAAATTATAAAGTATGATTATATTCTAACATTCATAGAGATGTAACACTTACACACGAGCTTGAGTATTAACTAGCTCAAAATTCAAGTTCTGAGCCTGCTTTTATTAATTTAGATAACTTACCTGACCTAGAACATTAACTTTAAAGCTGCTACACCTTACGAGATGTCTCAATATGCATCAGAATGCTTTTGTTTGGGAAACAAAGTACAGCTCACAGACAGGAAATGATCACGTTTATTTCCAGTTGCCAATAACGATGACAAAATCATAAATCAGTTTTCCAAAAGGTACGTCATGGCACATTGAGATGGAAGTGTACTACAAAAAATTCTGATTTTATATACATTTATGAAAAACAAAGACTTATAATAAAATACATTAACAATTTTAATGTAATACTAAAGAGTGGAAGTCAAGAATAATGTGTTTTAACGTATTAACCACACTACATTTGCACCAGTATCCAAGATAATTCTCAGACAGAGTTACCTGGTGGCAGCCATCTCATCTTCAGGTAGCCAACACAAATATAGCAGTGAAAGTACGGTGGAAGGCAGGTAGTTAAAACCGCCCACCATCAACTCTTGGGCTACTCATTTATGAACAAATAGTGGGACTTAAATTTTGGAGACGAGTTGAATGGGTAATGAAGAAAACTTTATTATAAATGTACGACGTTTCGACAAGTTTATGTTATTCTCAGGTACAAGTAGTTAACATAGACACAGGAATATATATATATATATATACAGTATGGAACAAAGAGGTCACATGACCAGAGATAGCTTCACAGCCTAGTATAGGTATCTTGGAGTCTGGTTTTATAGTGGGGCTGTTTCGTTCAATTAAGATAGCTTTCTTTATTCTGTATTTATTGATGTTTGGTTCTTTGTTTGAAATTACAGGGTTTTGTATAGATATACTGTGTTTTTTCGAGTTGAAATGGTGGTAAACATGGAAAGGTGTTTTATTTTATGTTCCGTGAATCTGGTTTCCAATTTTCTTCATTACCCAGTCAAGCCATCTCCAAACTTTTAAATTGTAGGATTAACCATCATATTATAATACCTCCACAGCTGAAAGGGAAAGTATGTTTGGTAATGGGAATTTGAACCCGGAATCTGCTGATTGAGAGTCAAGCACCCTAACCACCATGCCATATCAATCCCACTATTTAAACAGTACTATTAGTACTGCGGTACTAAACAAGTTTTACTAATTTTGGTTAAATTATATTTTTATTCTTAAGTTTACTTAAAATATAGCTCTAATAGTAAGGCATGGAAGTACTATCATCCCTAATAATATTGGCCTAACGCATGCCGTATCTTAAATATTTTTATCCGATAGTCCATTGCAAAGACAATTTCCTTCAATTGTTCAATAAATATTTAGAAAACGTTTAATAAGACACATTTCTAACAAAAATATAAACTTACGTACCCGAAACGGCTGTTTTTGCGATAAGACTAGAAATATTACCCTATATAAAACTGTGTGAAAGTCAACTTTTTTAAGTTGTAACAGAAATCTTGAAACAACATTTGAAACGTTTATCACATGAGAGTACGTCGCTGAAGTTGTCTACTCTTCTTTGATCATTGCATATCAAAAGATAAATGCTGAAAATATCTTCTCAATCGTCTGTGACGGTATTTGATACAATTTCACATCCTGTATTAACTTTGGGGTAAATACTTTTCCAACACCACATTCATTCATAATACATAAACGCCTCTTTAACACGACTAATAACTGGAATAGCGTCTAGATTTTCTGTAAAACTAAAAATCAAACTTGCAATACATACAGTAAATGAATAATGGCCTATCTTTTAATTCTTCTAACTTTGAAACTAAATACTTTTCAACACTAAACTCACGTACAATTTTCATAAGGCATAGTTAATTACATCAAATAGGATTAATAACTGGAATAGTCCCCTTATTTTCCATAATAGAAATAAACTGTATATCAATGACCTAAGTTCCAGCGCTTCTAACTTCGGAATTAAATACTTTTTCACCACAAAATTAGTTCATAACTTTTGTAAGACATATGTAACTAATTTAGTAATGATTAATAACTTCTAGTACAGTCTTCTGATTCTCCATAATAAAAAGAGTTAATATATATAATACTTACCTTTGAAATTAGATTATTTCAAATATCAAACTTAATCGTAATTTTCATAAGAAAAGCACAACCCTAAGGTTTCTGGGGGGAGGGAGTTATTTACCCTATATTTGACTTCAGAGCCTGGGAGTGTCCTACACAAATTTTCAAGTTTAACTAGTAGCACTAATCTAAAGTTGTTTCATCAACATCAGAATACGACCTTTAAAGTTTAACTATGGATGAAATAAACCTTTTTTTTTCTTCACTCGACATAACTTTAACAAGTTACCGCACATTACCAGTATGGTATAAAGACATATCACGTGCTTTCAACCAGCTTTTGGTAATGCAGAAATTTTTACAATATTTCACTTCCATAGTTTATATGCTGTTTTAGCATAAACAGTTTGTACAGGAAAACAATGAAGTTCGCTTCAACATAACATAGCGTTCTGGGACAACATGGAACCTATTGGTCCATCTCGGCTGTTCCATCCTCTAAACTAAATTAATATAATTTTTAAAAAATCTTAAAGTCAGCCCTTATCATTCATATACTTATCAAGCTTTTTCTTAAACTCACTTAAATTTACTGCCTCCACAACATCCGAAAACAACCCATTCCAAAGACCAACCACCCTGTTAGAAAAATGAAACTCTTAGCTGAAGATAACTCCTACCTTGCCGCAATATATTTTTGTATTCCCTAGTCCTATTATTCTCACTGTTAAGCACGCAAAAAGATGATGCATCAACACTATCAATTCCCTTTACAATCTTAAACACCCCAATCAAATCCCCCCTAACTCTTCTTTATTTTCAAGAGAAAACAATTTGAGAGGTTTTCAGCTCCTCCTCGTATGACAACCCCTCCATCCCAGGCACCATTCTAGTAACATTTCTCTGAACCCTTTACAACAATTCAATGTCTTTCTTAAGGTAAGAAGCCCAAGACTGAACACAATATTCCAAATGTATCCTAACCAGTGACCTGTACAATGAAATTATAGCCTCTTTAGGCTTCAATATTTCTGTAGATACGACCTAAAATCCTATTTGCTTTACCACTAGCAAGAATACATTGCTTGGATAGCTTTAGAGACTGATCAACTATTACACCAATATCCCTTTCCTTCATGACACTATTAAGGTTATTCCCATCCAAATTATGCTTATAATTAAAATTATAATAACCCACATGCATTATCTTGCATTTATTAAAATTAAAACTCATCTGCCATTCATTTACCCAACTTACTAAATGATCTAAATCCTTTTGCAAATCAGCAGCATCGTCTTCACAGCTAGCAACACCCAAGACCTTAATATCATCTGCAAATTTAAGCAATTTATTGAATATTTCTTCATATATGTCACTGATGTAAATCAAAAAGAGCAAAGGTCCTAAGACTTGGCCCTGAGGTACCACACTTGTGACATTAATCCAGTTTGACTGAACTCTATTTGTAACAACCCTCTGCTTTCTTTCATCCAGCTACTCCTCTATCCAACTAGCTAATTTATACCTCACACCTATAGATATAAATTTTACTAGCATTTTATATGGCACCTTGTCAAATGCTTTCTGAAAATCCAAATGCACCAAATCTACACCATTACCCTCATCTACATAGGCAGTAACCTTTTCAAAGAATGTCAAAAGATTTGTAAAGCAACATTTTCCTTTAGTGAAACCATGTTGACTATCCAATATAATTATAACCTTTGTTAAATGACTTTGCAAAGCATCTTTTATCAGACTTTCCAAAACTTTTCCTTCCCACAGCTGATGTAAGACTAATGAGTCTCTAGTTACTGGGACAATTTTTATCACCTCCCTTGAAAAGAGGAGTTACACTAGCTAACTTCCAATCCTTTGGTACCTGCCTACTATTCAAGGATTGACAAAAAATAGTAGCAAGTGACTCAAATATCCAATCTTTAACCACCTTCAAAACCGTTGGGGAAGTATTATCTGGCCAAGGAGACTTATCGTTTTTTAAATTTCCAATTTTTTTCTTAATCAGCTCAGAATTAATGCAGTCATCTTGTTTGTTCCATTTATCCACTGTTCAAGATGTGGAATACTGCTTAAATCTTCGTTAGTAAAAAGCGAAGAAAAAGAAAAGTTAATAACCCAGCCATCTCCTAATCATCAGATATTAGTCTTCCTTTATCATCCCTCAAGGATTCTACCCCATCCTAACACATTGTTTACCCTTGATGTATATAAAGAAGTCATTACTGTTAATTTTTATATTTTCAGCCAACCTTTTTTCATACATCCTTTTTGATGTCCTTATTTTCCTGTTTCACCAACTTTCTTGATCTTCTATAATCTTTTAAATCTGTCATGCCAGTCAATTCAAATTTCTTATGCTTTTCTTTAATTTTTATTTGTTCAAGTAGCTTTGTGTATTTGTTCTTTATAGCGGATTATACCTACTCTGTCAGAGGGAATGTTGTGGTATGCTTCACTTAAGTGTTAGAGGGATCAGCATTTGCAACGTCCTTTGCTGGTTGAGGAGTTGATGTCTGTATGCTATGGCCATCAAATGCTAGGAGAAAACAACAATCAGATGTGCTGCCTTCACAAGAGAAATAATAGGGGCTTTGTGCAAAATCAAATACTTTTTTCTCAGTTGTATTGATTTATATCGAGAGGCAGAAACTTGACGATCTATTCAATGATCCAGTAGAGGTGACCGGCCACTTGTTTGTGCAAGTATAAATGCTGTGTTTTCGTTTTCTTTGCACTAAATATAGATTGTGTTAATTTTCTCGCAAACTTGTTCAGTCCTTTTATTTGATCACATAAAATGAATACTCAGTCAAGTTTTCAAACCTCTTTAAGTTTCCTGTTAAAGCAAACCTATCTGATAATTGTCCAGAAATTAGTTTTACTTCAGAATACCACACAGAAACATATGCACATATTTTCTAAAATCTGATATAGTTATAAGATGACCAGATGTTTCCTGTTAGATATACAAGACTGTTTAGTTTAAGCATTATTATTTAGTTTATTTAGTGATTTAGTATTTAATTTTCAAATCAGCAGAGTCTTAAAACACAATATGCAGAAATACTAAGAAACACCATTGATATTATGCATGACTTGACTGTGTAACTAGTTGTCTAACTAATTATTTTAGTTTTTCTAGACGTCGTTATTGGGAGTTGATGTTTCAATGTTACTCAACCTGATAATCTCCTAACTTTGAGGTGGTGTCTTTAGTTGTTAATCTCTAATTTAACGAATTCTAGTTCTATCACCAACTGTAGAGTTTCCTTTACAAGTGTACAACTATTCTGCTTCAGCCTAATTCTAATATCCTCGTCTGTTATGGCATCCATAAATTGGACATATACTAACAAATCTATCATTTCATGAGAGCATCTGGGCAAGATAACTGGACAGTCCTTTCTAAATGTTCTAAAAGTTCGGCTAAGGTTTTTCTTTCCTCCATATCTCATTCTGGAATTTTGCTCTGGATACT